GGATTGCTGTGTGGCCATCCCCACTGACAGGTGATTTCTCATTTCCCCTCTCACTGTCTCTGTCTCTCTCTCTGGCTAGCGCACATGCCCTAAGGCAGCAACCTTTGGAAAAAACAAACACAAAGATTTTATGAAAATAATAATAGCAGTATATTCACAGCAGCATAGGCTAATCCCTATTGAACATTTACTGCATTCCAAGGACTATGCTAAAATTCTTTTCAAAAATGAACTCACTTCTTCCTTACAACAACCTCAGTTTGTACGAATGAATACTTCCCCCTTTCTACAAATAAAAACTGGATAGAGAAAATAAGCCATTTCCCAGACAGCACACAGCTAGCAAGTGTTGCAGGATATTGACGTTGATTAGAAAGTATCATTCTTCCCATTGGCTTTAGAGCTTAGGAGTTAAGTATGATACTCTTTAATTGGCATTCACTCTCTCCTCCATTCACATTAGGACTTTGTGTAATGGTTTCATTGTTATATATAATTTGTCTTACTCACAATTATTTGTTTACATGATTAGATTATGTATACACACACACACACATGCACACATATATACACTATATATGGAAAGTGAGAAATCACCCCCCAGAGGGAATGGCCATGCCACAATCCCTTCTCCTTCATTCTCCTCTCAGGACCTTGAGCATGCACACACATGTGCCTGGCATGAGTTTAAACCACTGGGTCCAGGACTTGAACCGCGGTCGACTACATGGGAGTCCAGCAACATAGCCATTACACTAACTGCTGGTCCCGTGACCTAAACATCTTTTAGGTGGTACAGAACTGTAAGTGATTATAAAAACTGTTGTCGGAAATGGACAACTAAGGTCTAGAATTGTGACTTCAGAAGTAAAAATCCTTTCTTGGTAATACCTACTTAGAAAGACCTTTCTCTAACCCATTGTCTCAGAACGACATGTCTACATTACAAATAAAGGAATGTGGGCAAAGTCAGACAGAGGAGCCCAGTGACAGCCTCCCTGTGTCCTAACCCACCTTGGCTCAGGCTATCTGGGGGTGTCACAATAAAATTGCTCCCTATGAAAAATGTTTTTGCTTAAAACTATTTTGTGTGCGTGCTTATTGTGTGTTGATTATGATTCACATGTGACCCTGATCCTGAGGTTTAGATAACGGCACAGGACAAAGGAGCCTGGGGCATTCTCAATATATAATGTTGTCCAAAAATAGATTCTCAAGTAAACATGTGGTGTGACTGATAATCAGAGGACCCAGGAGAGACCTCTGAGGTGACTCCTACCGGGAAGAGTATAACTCACCATCTGTTCAAAGTTCCTGCTTGATGGAAAAACACCAAAAGTCAGTAGACCTCCGCTCCCCCCCGTCATGCCTCTCTCCCCATTAAGTCATGGAAAACTGAGCAATCCAAAGGCACCAAGAGCAGAACCACAGCATAAAGG